AAAAGTGGGGACAGGAGGGGAATGTTTGCATGCTTAAAATATTTATGCTGCAAATTAACATGTGTTTTAAGCCTGTGATCCTTCAGACATTTATCCAGCATGAATATTTTGAAAACTGCATTAAAATTTGCCACTGGTGCTTTATTCATTAGGAGTGTTCAGCAGCCACAGACAGCAGTGCCTGCTAAATCTGTAATGCATCCATGCAGAGACAGCAGCTGGAGGATGTTGCCTGGGCTGTGAGAAAGAGCTTTCTGCTCCTACTTCCAAAGCAGGGAGCCTGGAATGAGTTCCTTACCCACATCGACTTCAGTCGTGACTGCAGATGTCACATTCAGCAGCACATGCGTCTGGTTTTTGACCCAAGCAAAAATAATCTGATGGGAGTGGGGTGAGACCAGCGCTCCCATGGGGAAAGGAGAGTTAGGGACTGGGGGAGGCAGACCCATGCAATCCTGCTGTGGGTCTGGTGGAACTGTGGGAGCAAACCAGGCTCTGCCGAGCACGAAGGTAAGATGTTCCTTCTTGTATATGCCAGCCCCATGCACAGAGGTTCTATAGTGGGGAACAGGGGGCAGCTCACCCCATAGCAGCTATCAGGGCTATTGCTATGGCTTGATATCCAACATTACGGCCTTCATTGGGGGGCACCAAAATCCCTGCCCAGGTGCAGGGCAGAGCAGAATATGGGATTTCAGCTGCTCACTGCTCTGTGCCTGCTGCTGTTGCCTGGGACTGGAGCTCAGTGCTGGCTCCTAGAGCTGCTTTTCATGCAGCCTCCTTGCCAAAAAAACCCCGAGCACACTGCGACTTGGAGGGAAAAGTGCAGGACATGGAGACAAATGCTCGCTGCTGCTGGCACAGGGAACTCACTTTCCCCGGATTCCTTGACATTGCTACTGATACATGGCTTTACAGACTTCGCTGCCACTGCCCGGTTCCTGTTAAATTACTCCCAATTATGGCAGACGTTTAACTTCACAGAACTGCGAGCAACTCCATTTTGCACATCCGTTTTTTGTGAAGCTTCTCACCTCTGCTGCAATATTGCTTCATAAAACCGGGAGAGCTTCCAGGAGCCTGAAGACTGCAAGTCGTTAATGGGGCTGCAGCAGGACAGACTTCTCCCGTTACGATGCTGGGGGTCAGAATTCCAGCTGTGACTTTTATTTTCATGTATCCTCATTCTGCGTCTGCAATGATGTGCCAAGCCTGTCCTTACGGGCAAACGTAAAGGGAAAATGTGGAGGGTGGGAGTCAGGCCCTTATTTTCAGTTCTGTTTCCTTTCCCTTTTGAGCACGCTTGCATAATGAAGAGGCAAACCTGGCCGACAGCACCCAGCTAATTCACATATGATTAATTCCCATTTTCTCTTTTTATTTTAAAGGCTGCTCTCTCCGATGAAGTGGAGAGCTTCATCACAGATGGATGGGAAAGCTGCCAGCCAGACACATTTTTGAGGTAAAAGGGGAAAAGACATGGGAAAGTTTAGTGCTTTGCAGAAGTGACCTTTCCTGGTGATTTGTCACTTCCCAACACCATCTGCTGACTTGTCAGCTGCATCCATCATGACTATAAAAGAGATACTGAAAAAAGTCAATTAAAACAAGGACTGGTGTCAAATGGGCATTGCACAAAATCTGTAGCAAAGGTGGGTAAGGAACAAACCAAGTCAACAACTATTGGTCATCCCCTTTTCATCAGCACACATAGCCACGGTCCCAGGGAGAAAAACTATGCTCACCACTCCAGAAGTTTTATCTCCAAGCCTGCTTTGCTGCGATAAGCTGCAATAAATGCACGGGGATCTTAGTGACTGCCATGTGTCTTAAGGAAGAATTTGGCCCAAATTGAGCAGTATTGATTGCAGTGGCAGTTGCAGAGGCCATTGCGAGGCCCAGAGCTTGGTGTGTGTGTACACATCATATCAACCAGCTGCAACCAAAATGGGTGAGAAAAGACATTTTAAAGGCCTGGGCCATAGCTCTTTTCCTCTTGTCTCCAGCAAATGTTGCTCACAGCTCAAGCATCCACGCAGAGCACCGCTGTGCTCCCCTGCCACATGGAGCTGTTTGATGCAGGAGGCTTTCATTGCTTCCCCAGCTCATTTTTTCCTCTTGCATCTCCCCTACTTGAGGCTGCTGGCTCTTGGGATTCCTCGTGCAGAGCCACCGATTTGCGAGCAGCACCTGGACCTGATCCCAAATCCTCCAGCATCAGCATCTGCCTGATGGTTTTGTGGGACCAAAGGCAACCCTATGAGATCTTAGACAAATCTCTGTGCCTCATCTGTACCGAGAGAGGTGCTGGTGGACAGTTGTGTCCCTGAGGGGTGTTGTGTTCAGGACTGTGAGATGCTGTTATTAAGGGAATGGGCCACAGGAGGACTCAGAATGGACAGATAAATCCCTCATACTGCCTTGGCATCTCCCCACTGTTCCACTCATTTTATAAAGCTTTTGGTATAGCTTTAGCATGGATAGCTTTCTTTATTATATTAATATTTAGATCCTGCAAGGGTGGTTATTCACTGCCTTTAATCAGTGCTTTTGCAATGCCAGGGAGTCAGGCATCATTCTGCCTTGCGCTGATTTTAGTGGCTTTGTTGTTACTGTGATTTGTTAACATTACAGGACAAAGACAATGAAGAATGACATCACTGGACTGCTGACATACCCACACAACAAAAGCTTTATCCTGGGGGGCTCACAATCTAAACAGACAAGTTAGGGGAGGGGAAGTTCTCCAGCTTATAGATGGGGAAACTGAGGCAGAGTGTGATCTGCTCTCAGGGCCTTTTGTGGCTGTGGGCCATACAGAGAATAGCTGCCACCAAAAGACAGCAGCCTGGGGAGGCAGGGATGGGGATCACCCTGGAAACTAGAAACTCTTAAAAGCCTGATGCAGATAAAGGTGCTGCCCATCTGGTGCACCCGTTTCCATGCATGCCAGGCAGCTGCTCTGTAGTGCTGGGGAGTGTGGGCACTGTGCAGGCATGTGATTGTGTGTGGGTATATAAGGGCAGGATCCCAGCCCGTGTGACACGGAACAAGAAGAGGTCTGAGCCGGGCAGCGCTCTCCAGGTGAGTGTTTGTGTCTGTGCTCCATTTCCAGGCTCAGCGGGGTGAGCTGTGTGCTCTCACGTAGGTGCTGGTGTTGGTGTTGGCTTCAGCAGCTGCTGCTGAACATGAGAGAGCTCTGACAAGGAGAGGAAACGAAATCAATGTTTAAGCAAGGGGAAAGGTGCCTTCTGCTCTTCTCCCACGGTGGGAGCATTGATTCCATCAACTCCTGCTCACTGTGAGCACCCATCAGGCACAGTGAGACCTGGGTGCCCTCTTGGGAAGCTGCTTTGAACAGTTCGAACTGAAGTCACAGAGTTCCTACATACAGCAACAGTTCAAATTTTTGGAAGGCATTGCATCAGCTGAGCTCCATCTTGTCACTGTTCTCACACCAGAATCAGGCGGATGTTCACCATCCTGCCTCCAAATAGACATTTCACCCCAAGTTATGCAGCCATAAGGAGAGCTGGGCACTGGTTCACCCAGCCTCATGTGACAGCAGCACTTTGTTGTGCTGATTCTGAACTTGGGATCCTTCTGCTTTGTGCTTTCTCTTTGTAGCTGTGAAGCAAATTCACAAACAACAAGGTACGTATCTGCCTGGAGAGGCACTGAGCTGATGATCTCAGGTCTGGAAGACATGTCCTGCTTACAAACTAAGGAAGGGACATGCATAAAAGATATTTTTTTGACTAGAGTAATGTGCGGGGGTGTTTCTCTGGGGGAAGAGTGAGAATCAATTCGCAGAGGGCTAGTCAATAAGAGATGAAGGAGGTGACTGAGTTTATCTCTTTGTATATGGCAGTATTTTATTGCAATCTTGGAATAAATGAAGCCACACAAGAGATTGATGACACTGAGATAACACCGTGTTATCAGCACATATGCATATCAACATGTTGTATTACAAGGGGGAGAGCCTGAGAAAATCCCCTTTTGATCACTGCAGCAACTCCTGGTTTGACAGCTGGGATGTTGCAGGCAGGGAGGAGCTGCCCTTGCCTGGTTGCTGCATCCAAACCCGCTCCCAACACCCTCCCTGGCCTGGCACGCAGCGATGGATGGGACTGGGAAGTGAGGCAGAGGGGAATACTTATTAACTTCCACTGCCTTCAGTTCAATACTAGCTGATATTTATGTGAAATCTAATTTAGGGGTCAAATTTGAGCTAACAATGTCTTTTTAATGGTGTCCAAACAGAGAGGTTTTTGAAACTAATTAAGGATCAGGTTCCAATCAGGTAGAGTGGTTAAGCTGCGGGACCAGACTTCATTAAATGCATCCAGAGAGAATATTTTAATATTTAAAGAGAGCATTTAATGTTTATATAAGTTCTCTTCCCATCTGAAGTCACTGTTAAATCACTTCAGAAGGTAGCTTTTAAAGCCCTTTATACTTGTCTTTTATGGAGCAAGGCTGGCAAACGCCCTTCGCAGCTCTCTTGGACCCAATGAGGCTTATTAAAAGATTGAGCCCATCAATGCAGGTTTTCAGGGGTAAGAGATACGAAAACAAAATTTAACAACGCAGCTGTAGTACGTTCTTTCTCTCCTGCAGCATCACTCTCTGCCTTGCTGTCAGAGGGATTGACGGGAGTGTTTTGCTCTGGATGTATGCAGGTCTTAAACCACTACAGCTGGAGGGCTAAAGCTTGCAGAACAGAGGAGTCTTTAACAGTACTGAAGGGCTGGGCTTTCAGTCTCTGGAGATATTGCTCAAGAACAAATCTGTTTACAAGAAACGGTTTGAGAGAGAATTGTCAGTCAAGATGCTTCTATTCTCAGCTCAGGAGCATCTGGAAGAGTAAATATACCTTTAGTTAGCCGGTGGCTAAATTAGATTGCAACTGATGAAAAGCCAAAGGGATTTCTCATTAAATGGCCCTCTCTATTATTACCCTGGCATCCTCCTTCCCGCGTTGTGCAGACTCTCGCAATGGTTTTGAAGAAGGCGGCGGCCGCTTTGCTCCTGGTGTACGTGATGTCAATGCTGGCAGAACAGGCTGAAGGCTTTGTGCCCTTCTTCACCCAGAGCGACATCCAGAAAATGCAGGTAATCCATGAGACAGGCACTGGAGAATGACACAGAGGTTTCTTCCTCCTCAGCTGTGCCATGTGTACCTTGCCACTGCCATTCCCTTCATCCCCCTTTCTGTTGGAACAGGAGATGAGACTTCGGCAGTCCCTCGCTCGTTCCAAAGCTGAGGGCTACGGGAGATGGCAGAGACAATTTGTAAGGTGTGAGAGTAGAAAGGAAAATCCGGGACTCCTTTACATAAGAAATAGAAAACCTGTGTAGGATATCATCTGCTGGTAGCAGGTCTCGTTTTTCTTTCTTCTGTGCTAGTGGCTGTAATTTCTGTAAAGGAGCTGCAGCCTCCCATCACCACGTTGATGGGTCTTTTTGTTGTAACAAATAATTAACCATCCTCCAGATGGTTGTCACCTCTGGGATGTGCAGAGAGAATGTTTTCCTTTTGATGTGAAACTAATACTGTTGAAAGCTATCAGGCAGGCAGCCTCAGAGACTGCATCTTCTCCTTAAACACAGCCAAAGGGAGCTTCCCCCGCACTCTGCAATCCATTGATACAGGGCTGAAATCTTTTTTCCAATACCTATTTGCTTGCTGGATAGTGATTTCTTCTTGTGGGAAGCACAGACATCCTTCAGCCTCCTTGAAGGAGAGGACACGGACCCACGCACAGTCCCCAGATGGTTCATACATCGTTACCCTTTTAGCTATGAGTCTGCTGGTGATTGAGGGGCTTCCAGAGGTACGTGGGTGAAATCAGTCTTAGCTTTCTGAGCACACGTTCGAAACAAAGCGAGAGCACAGCAAGCAGTCATGGCACTGAGCACAGACAGTGATGCATTTTTCGTGTCCTGTCGTGTTGGTCTTATCCCAAAGCAACTTTATTTTGTTCTGTTTGGGTTAGGAAGAAAGAGAGGGTCCTGAAGCAAAGCTTAGCCCCATAAATGTGATAGGATGACCTTGCAGACTTCTAAGAAAGGCTGGCAATATGTAATGTATCCACAGAACTCTCCATTTGCAATGAGGGTGTGCAGGCTTCCATTAAACTTCATGCCACTGCGACAGAAGAGAACCAGAAGTGGGCCAGCGGAATAGCTCTGTAAGATCAGTAAATCTCTTCCTGCTGGCAGTGTTGTCCTGCACAGATCAAAGCAGTCATCCAGTACTGTCATGTTTGCTACAGATCACTGCCTGCAATCCTGTAACTCATTCTTTGAGCACTGCAGCCCTTCCTGCATATCAGAATTACGGTCCCCAAGGCCGTGATGACTGCAGCTGATGGGTCTGTTCCCAGACACCCACCCAGGGAACCATGCTGCTCCAGGCATCAGTAAGACCACCAGCTGTTTGGGTTTTGTGTCCTGTTCAAGGCATACGGCATCACTGGGATGCCATAGAGCGTGCTTGCTGCTCCCACGATGCTGTATATCACTGCCTTGTTTGCTCTCTGCTGTGGGGTTGCAGGAAAAGGAGAGGAACAAAGGGCAGAAGAAATCCCTGACCTCTCTGCAGCAGCTGGAAGAGGAAGGCTTCTCTGAGCAATCTGCAGATATCGAAGGAATGAAGACTATCCAGGTATGTCGAATCGTGTGGCTCTAAGGATCCTTTGAGGACATGCAGTGGGGACAAACAGCCCAAGAGATGTCCTGTGGGTCCTGGCTGCAATGAGCACTTGGAGGTGCCACATGAGAAGACAGTGGGTGGTGTTATGGAGCTCACAGTCATGGAAAGCAATATCACCCATTTCCTACCAGTTCTGCCAGGCAACCCAGCAAGATTTCATCAAAGAAGAACTTTACCTCCATACCATAAATTATCTTAGACACTGAGCAGCCTGGACACCCCTCAGACCCACCTAGCCTCTACCTTCGCACAGGAAGATGGAAACAACATGAGGTCTTTCTTTGCCATTCAGGGAATGCCAGCCAACTGCAAGGCAGTAATTTGTAGCTCGGCAGGTCTGATTTTAACTTGTCACTCTTTCAGGCAGCTCTGCATCAGCTGTCTGGTGTTGCTCACCTCCTATCTCACAGCCCTCTGCACTGGCAGGATCTTACTTATAAACTGGGGCTCATACAGCTGCACCCCCCAAAGGCTGTATACAGAGCAGAAAATTGCCAATTTTAGGGATTTAAGTGCCAGTCTAAGCCCTCAAAGGCATGCTTACTTGGTTAGCTAAGTCTGAAAATTGTGCTTTTCCACTTGAATGCAGGGAGCTCTTTGTCCGGTCAGTGCAGCCATTCCTGTGGTCAGCACAACTGGCCTCTGCCAACAAAAGGAGTGTGAAGGTCCAGCCCAAACCACAGGACAGGCAGAGAGGCCACGGAATTCAGCCAACATGCAGGTCAATGTGCAACTGCTTTCCCAAACGTGGTGCACCAGCAGTCAATAATAGGATTTAAACAGCAAGGATTCACAGCTCAAAGCATTAAATAACTGGCACTTCCCAGTACCCAGCGCTCATGCAGCCACGAGCCCTCCTGTGCCTCCAGCCATGACTGGAACAACTCTATTTACTGTGGGTACATCTGAGCCATGGCTCACAGCTGGTCAGGCTGCAGGCAGGGAGATGTCTCATCCTACACCTTTTCTTATGCAGGGTGCTTCACCAGCATCAGTAAAGCTGATGTTTTGAAGGGTCAAAATGTGAGATAGTGGAGGATTATAAGGTGTAGAAATGATTTTTCTTCTTTACAGTCTCTGTTGCCAGTAGTGCCTTTATTTCTGAGTCAGACTAGAGATGATCCAACACATGAAAACTCTGGCACTTTGAACAGAACACAATTGCATCAGCAGTAGATGGGGCTGAGTCCAAAACACTGTTTTTTTTCCCCTGATAAAATGATCATCCTATTCCTCTCACACCAACCCCAAACCCTCAGCTGCCTTGAGCAAAGTGGGGTTGAAGTACCCTGACCTGCCTGCCCATGCTCTGCTTTGCTCCTCCTTCTGATGCTCTTCTTTCCTCTGCAGCTAGCTGTTCCTGTCAGAGCTGGGATGCGGCTCATACTGAGGCAGCTGGAAAAATACCAAGGTGTCCTGGAGAAACTGCTCACAGAGGTGTTACAGGACACCCCAAACGGTACTGGCAGGGGGTTGATTTCTGCCTTGGGAATTCTGCCTTTCTCTCCTCCCACCAGCTCATCATCATGGAGATATTTATATTCCTTAGAAGGGTTTTTGTGTCATGTTTGCTCACTTTACAGAGTCCTCAGATACCCCACTCTCTCTCATACACACACTTCTCTTCTGGGAAGGTTATATGTTCTCTTAGAGAGCTATCTGTGTCCTAGAGCTGATGTTGGCTGTTGGCAGCATTGCAACAATTTCCAGCAGCACTGCTTCCTACCTCCCCACTCCTCCTTCTCAAAAGTCCTTAGTCTTTAGGATGCAATTTCCAGCTGAGCTTATAAGGAAACCTGCACAGGTGAGGCACCTCAGCACCTGCAGCTGTCTATGAGCACCTTGATCCCTACACAGGGGCTTATCATGAGTGAATTAGCTGCAACTAAAGGTGTTGAGTGCTAACAACTCCAGCCCTGGAATCTGCTCCTAGCATATGGGAATTGCAAAAAGAAAAATCCAGGGGCATGATGGATGCAGCTATTCCAGATTTGGAGGGTAATGGGAGCGTTCTTACCTGTGTTCTCTCCAGACCTTGGTCTGATCTGGGCTTAAACGCCCCAACAAGAAGGTCCTTTCATCTCTGTGGGAGCTACTGTTCTGCTTTGTGCTGATTTCAGTTTGCTTCCTTGCTCTTTAGGTGAGGAGCTGAGGAGGAGGAAATGATATATAAAGCATAATGACAAATTCTAAGGACACTTGTTCTTTCCTCTCTTCTCTTTCAGCTGACTGATACCAGCAGCGTCAGAAGAGAAAACGATGCAGCTTGCTGAAACTAAAAGGCTCCACTTATGTACACGAAATCTGTAAAAGAGATTAACAACAAAATCTGAGGTGAGATAATAAAATGCGCAGTGTAATTAAACGAAGGATTTGTGCCTTTTTTCAGCCAGATGGCAAGCAGCAAGTGTGGGAAAGATAAGAAGGAGGGTTTCCAGTTCTAGAGAAATCATCGTCCTTCTGATGAGTGCAAAGCTTGCTGAAGAGCCTGAGTAATTAACCTTTGCAAACTAATAGGTTTTAGGCCTCCCTTTTGGCAAGGAGAGAAACTGAGGCATGATTACAGGGCTACCAAGGTACACTGGTGCCAGGTTAGGACTGGGAGTGCTGGGAGCCTGGTGGGAGTCCTTACCCGGCTCTGCTCACAGGTCACCCCCACACAGCCAGCAGAAAGCAGCTGTGCTCTTCCTACCTGCAGTCTTCACCCCGTCTTGCTCATCCAGGCTACATGAATCTGAACAGCATCACCAGGAACGCTCATAGCCATGATGTGATCGAGACACAGTGTGAAGCAACACGGAGCTCCAACATGATTTCTGGCTCTCACACAAATCTAGATGTGACATCGTAATTCCGCTTGAACATATTGCTCTCCATTTAACATACCTTTGGCTTATTTTAGAGCTGCTTCTCTATACTGGCAGCAGGAAATCTAACATATGTAAAGTAAGGACTGATGAGATCAATGGCATGTACTTGAATATATCCAATTTCAATCCAATTTTATCCTCCTGATCTAACACAAATTCTGTTCTTACTGCGGCTCGTTCGAATAGCTGTGTTTGTGCTAGAACAACATAGACACACTTCTACTTCCTCAGTGTGCTCTCTGCTGCAAGCCATCCCTTGGAGAAATGAAATTTCTCAATGTATAATGCAACATCCAGCACAGAATGGATTCCAGTTTTAATATTTGATTCGAAGGCATACTCCTATTGCACAGATAGATCAGCTCAGTGTAACTGGAAGTTTGCAGGGATTACTGCTGAGGCAGGTGGAGCTATGAAATCACTGTAAAAGAGTCAGAGCGGGTGGAAAATAATACATTCCATTAGGGTAAAAATGAAAGCAACTGCACGTCCTGCTGGGCTAGGAGCTCAGCCAGTGCAAATTAATCTGTGGTAGACTGATACCCAAGGGAGGTCTGGCAGGGAAAGTGCAGGCAGAGTTGTACCATGCTTACCTTGTCCAGCAAGATCAGAGAGCAAGCTGTTGGCTTCCAAGGGGCACTTAGTAAAAGACCCAGATCCTTACCCCAGGCTTAATTTTGCCTTGCCATAGGAAAACAAGAAGAGTTTCCACCTGCAGTGCAAACTGCAGAAGCTTCACTGCAGGCCAGAGCCTTCTCTACTGCATCCCATTTTGCCCTTCGCTTTCACTGAAGAGGATTCTTGGCTGACCTGTGGCACTGAGGAAGGAATACTGCCTAGTGACAGTAAATAGGAAAGTAAACATGAGCCTTTGGGATTTGCTTCTTGGACCATTTCCCACAAGAATGATGTTACAGAACACTTCTATAAGCAGATCCATTAACGTGACTTTACTGAGATGTCTGCCTTTGCTCCGTCACTCCGACGCAGACAAGCCACTCCTGGACTGCAGCAGCACTGTCTGCTTTCAACTCAGTCCTTGGTTGTGTGCTCTTCCCAGTTGGCCCAGCTCTAAATGAACCGTGGGATGCATGGCTGGTTATGACAGTAACCATATGAAGCCCCTTTCTGGAACAGTAACTGAACAGCCCAAATATGCACCAAGTACAAAGGAACCTTCAGCTTTTGGAAGAAAACCCTCTCCAACCTCAGACTTTTGAGTAAAGAGAATGAAGTAGATATTCACCCAATCATCTCATCTCAGGCATGACTGCTGCAGTCAGGGCAACTTCTTTGGTTAACAAGCAGAAAGGACTCTGAGTTACAGGATGCATGTGTACACCCAGTGCTCTAGCAGGTTGCTTTGGTGCAGCTTGTTCAGCAGTACTGAAGTCCATGGCTGCAAGTAGGTGAGGAAGATCTTGCTTGCTCCAAAAACAGATAAATAGTTTCATGGTAGGATGAGCTACTGAACAACTGAGGGAGAGAGGCAGGAAAGGAGGAGGAGGAGGAAGAAAACAGATAGAAAAGACTGAAAGTGGCACCAACTTTCTAACCTAATAAGAGGCTCAGTAGGCTGAGGATATGACATATGATCAAGGGATAAGAATTGGTGTTCTTGGGTCGCACCTGTGCAGCGGCTGTGAGTGACAGGGTGTTAAATCAGCACAGTCGGCTCTCAAGAAAGATTTGACACTTCCCCCAGTGACATATGCAGGACTGTCGGCCAAATGCCAGGGGGTAAGCAATGGGGGTGGGATGGTAGTTTCTCTAGCAGCCCTCCATCAGGGATGGGAAGGTGCATCTACTGCCATGCTTTTTGGAGGATGCAGCATGCTCCCCTCTTCAGGCACCTTGTGCAGAGCTATTTCTACCCCTCTGCTTATACCAGTCCTGCCTTAGTACTTTAGGAAGGAGAAGCAGGCGGCACTGCACGCCTGCTCTTCCCATATGACAGCTGAGTCACTGCCAGCAGGCCTAAGGCAGCTTCCGGGCTAGCAGAAAAGGTGGAGGCTGTCCCCTCTTTGCTGTCCCATCTTCCTACAGCCATCTCAGGGTATTTACAGCCAAGATATTCCAGCCGTGGGCTGGAAACTGGCTTTCCACAGCCAAGGATCTCTGAGCATCACAGCCCATCTGTGGCATCGGCAGGGCTGTGCTCGCCTGGCAGCCTTTGCTGCTGCTCAGGGCTGCGTGGATGATGCCCCTTCTTCTGCACAAAGCAGAAGCTCTGCCATCGGCTTCAACATCAGCACTGTTGGCAAGCTAATGGGAGCAAAAAGATGCTTTTCCATGGGGCTACTGGGCTCTGTCATCTCTGAGTGGCTTTCTGCTTTCTTCTCCATGATAATCAGGTACCTTCAGGGTAGTGATGCTCCCTAAGCTTGTCTTGCTAGGGAGGAAGTGAGAGAGGCAGTAGATTTCTCTCCACAATCTGTTCCAGCTGCCAATCTCCCTCCTGTAAAGGAATCACAGCTTTTCTGCAGTCCTCCAGCCCTCAAATCCCACTCCCATGTTCATCGCAATAAAGGTCATGCAATGCTGGGACAAACTCTGTTTTGGTGCAGCTTCCCTGACCTCCACAGGCAAAAGAAGTTGAAAAGAATCCTTTTTATTTATCCATTCCTTTTTCTTTCTTTCTTTTTTCCCTTTTCGTTATTACTCATTTTCTCCTAAGCAAGAAGAGCCGAGGCAGAGCTTCTCCAAACTGTCTGAAAGCCGCGAGTTTACAGAAACTTCTACTAAGAGCACATTTTATGTCTGTATTTACATTCAACACCACCCCAAACTATTAGCTGTCCGTTGTGCCTCCCAGACAGCAAGCAGGGCAGGCTCAGCTTCGCACATTCACACCTCCATCGGAGCTGAGCATGCCTGGCTTCTCCACAGCATACATTTGTTGTTGCTAACCAGATTAACAAATCTCGGTATCTGGTCGCTCAGGAAGAGCGAGGCGAGCCCTGTCTGCTGCCCTGAATGAAAAGGCCATGACAGCAAAGCAAGCATGAAAAGAAGGAAAGGTGGAACGAAGCCTGGGTGATTTGCCTTGCGTTAAAGGCAATCTGTCCCTAAGGATGCTGCTGCTCTGGGGGACCAGGCGGAGCTCTGGCACAGCCCCACGGGTCGGCATCGTCCGTCCATTACATTGATGGCGATGCGCAGGCAGCCTGCATGCATCCGTCACCACTTTCTCAATTATTTTTAATTAAAGTCTGATACTAAGCCACAGTATTCCAGCCGCTTTCATTACTTTCTTTACAGGTGGGAGAAGGGGGGGAAAAAAAGCAATTACTGCACATCACGGCCGTGCCAAAATAAATTTTCTAGTTGACATTTGGTTTTGCCTTTTGAAGCTGCGGGTCTGTAAGGAAGATCCCACAGATCCCCCCCAGGCCCAGCTCAGTCCTGCCCAGCCCGCAGTGCCACTCACTGGGCAGCGAGGGGGGGATGAGGAAAAGGCCTGCAGCAGGCAGGGAAAGACACTTCCCCAGAAGCGTCAAAAATCACTTTAGGTTGGAGTGAGAGCAGCTCGGCTACTCGCTTGCTTCTGAGTGCTGTGGCTCCCTGCTGAGGCTGCTTTCGCACTTCGCTTTCTGCATTTCTCTCTCTCCTGAGGTGGGCAGCAGCTTGCGCTCGGAGCCCTACCCGCCCTGAGGAGGTTCTCGACCTCCCCAACATGGCGGAGCCACCGACCTGCCTTCACAAGATGTCGGCGCATTCACTCGCCCTTCCCAATATGGCGCCCACCCCGCACTTCCCGTATAAACATGGGACCGGGCGGGGGCAGCATGCGCCCTCCTCAAGATGGCCGCGAGAAGGTTGCTGCTGGCCCTCCTCAAGATGGCGGCCGCCCTTCCTTGCTGACAGAGTGCTTCCGGTTAGGCCTGGCGTCAGCGCCGCGGCCATGGCGGAGCTGACAGACGCGGAGCTCCGGAAGGAGCTGCTGGCGCTGGGCTACCGACCTGGGCCCATCACCGAGACCACCCGCAAGGTCTACATCAAGAAGCTAAGCTGCCTGCGGGCTGAGGTGGCGGCAGCGAAGCGCAGGGGCCGCGGCGCTCCGCCCAGCCCGGGCCGCAGCTCCGGCAGGCCTCAGCAGGCCTCACCCTCGCGGCCGCGCCTCGGCTTCAGCCTCAGCCCCGGCAGGGCCGGCCGCGACGGAGAGGAGGAGGATGAGGAGGATGAGGAGGACGGGATGGAGGAGGACGAAGAGGAGGAAAGAGGACGAGCGCCCGTGTCCCGCTGGGAGGCTGCTGAGGGAGGCAGGCTGTCCTGGGGAGACCCACGAGGGTCACCGCCCGGGCGCAGCGGGGGGCTCGGCGGTAGGAACGAGGGTGGGACATCCCGGGATGGGCTCCGGGGGCTGAGCGCACCCTCCTCGTGGAGCTCCTCCCTGGAGAGGAGCGGGGGGCTCAGGGCTGGGATGGGCTCGTCTCTGGATGATGGCTATCGGGCCTCGAGCTCCTTTCAGTGGAGCACATCTGCAGAGGGGAGTGAGGGGCTCAGCGGCGGGCCGAGGGCGTCCCTGGATGGGTTTGGGGGGCCGAGCCCGTCCCAGTGGAACACGTCTATAAGTAGAGGTGAGGGGCTCAGTGCAAGGGCTGGGCTAGGGTCGTCCGTGGATGGGGTGGGAGGGCTGAGCTCCGTGTCCTCCTGGGGTGCGTCTGCGGGCAGAAGTGGAAGGCTCAGCTCTATGCCCTTTTCCAGTGATGAAAGCGAAGGTCTGACATCCAGGGGCCATTGGGACACATCAATAGGGCGGACTGCAGGGCAGAACTCCCCAGCGCAGTGGGAGACAGCAGGGGGAAGGAAGACAGAAAGGAAGGGGCTTTTCTCCAACAGCTGGTGGGGACGGGAGAGCAGGGTGGCACCCAGCACTCATTGGGAAACCTCAGCAGGATGTAGTGGCTTGAGTTACCCATTCGAGAGGAGAGAGGAGAGCTTGGCGCCCAGCGTTCGAAGGGAGGCAGACAGAGAGCCAAAAACCAGCAGCTGGGGAGAGGGATTGAGCCGACGGCTGCCGTGGAGGGCTGTGAGTGGCACAGGGCTGGGCTCGGGCAGCCGGTGGGATGCATCTGCTGCAGTGGTGACACCCCGCACTCAGCTCCTGCGGTCAGCCCCCAGGCAGCAGATGGAAGGAAAGCGCAAAGGCCTTGAGTTCTACCTCTCCCAGTTCCTTTTCCTCGCCAGCTTGGTGCTGCTGCTGATTTTTCTGGGTATCCTCATGGTGAAGATGATTGGGTCAGGCTGGCTTGAACAGACAGAGGAGAGCTGTACGTGTACCGGTTTAATTGTGTTTTGTTTTTTTTTTAACTTTATTTGCTTTTATTTTCTGATTTCCCTCTATTACTTCCATTGCTATCAGATACATCATTCTCTCACTTGGCATCTCCGTCTCCCTCTCCCATTGCCTTTGGGAAGTTTCATTCATCACTGAAAATAAGTCAAGTGTGTGTTCTTTTTTATTTTTACTTTTGCCTTCAGTTCTTCAAAACCCTGTTGGGTTTTGCCCATAAAAGGAAGCCAGGCCAAGGAGGTGTTTTATGGTTATTGGCTGTGTAGTATAACACCTGTGTAGCTGTCCTGTGTTTTAACATTAGCCTCTGCAAAGCACAGCCCTGCGATGGTCCCTGTGTTGCATTTAAAGCACATATCCCAGCTAGATGGAATTAATGCCACTTCAGGGCTTGGAACTGAAAGAAGAGGTTTGGGTTGGAAGGTACTGGTCCTTAATTTGGGGACACTGCACGTAG